CTCACTTCCTCTTCTTTGCTGTCCTCCCTCCCATAGCTCTTGGCACAGTTTCTACTTTACCTTCCTGTTGAGAGTTCCAGCCAAAAGCTGGGACTGTGAAGGTCACTATTCATTGAGCTGGAGAATGGGCCACTTGGCAAAAGGGGCTTTTCCCGTCCGGCCCTGAGCCTCTTCCTATCTTCCAGAGGGGCTAAAAGGAACTGTGAGGATCCTGTGAGTATTGAAGGGGTGAGTCAGGGCACACTGCCAGGTCCCCGGGCCAAGCTACAGCCAGTGTCAAAGGATTCTGGCTGCGCCAGAGAGGGCGTGAGATGGATAGATGGAAGGCACAGCTGTGGATCAGTTAGGGGGCTAGGGGAGAGGCTGGGAAGGGAGCCCAGGATGCTGGCATCACACTTTCCCATCCCCACTCTCCACCACAAAGGACCCATGGACAGCTGACCCCACACTACCCCCATGAGGGTCCAGGGCTGGAGGTTCAGGATGGATTCTTTCTCTTCCACCCCATGCAGCATTCCTCTTGCCCTCTGAAGATAATTCAGTGCAGACAAGCGTTCAGTGGGAAGGAAGGGGTTGGGTCCTGGAGTCCCCCAAAAGAATGACTTCATGCTCTTCCTCCTGCATTAGATGACAATTGCCCTTTATACTTCTCACTGATTATGCTGTTTCTTCTCACAACACCCCCCTGAGGTTGAGGGGTCACGGATTATGATGACATGGAAAGTCTACTGGCTTGGGCTTAGTGGGGACCCATTCTTCCTGGAATACAGCCTCAGGACCTCAGACAATAGTCAGTGCTTCCACGGGTGGCACTCCAGATGGTGCTAGATGGTACGCAGGTGAACAACTGTATTTATGTGGAGTCCTGGTGTGGTGCTGTGGGATAAAGCACTGGACCAAAAGGTTGGTTTGAACCACAAGGTCGGCAGTTCAAATTCACCAGCCGCTCCTTGGCAAACCTATAAAGGGTTGCTATGTGTTGGAACCAACTCAACAGCACTTAACAACAATATATATATGTTGTTGTTGTTATGTGCCGTGGAGTCGGTTCCGACTCATAGCGACCCTGTACAGGGTTTCCAAGGCTGTAAATCTTTACAGGAGCAGAAAGCCTTATCTTTCTCCCGCGGAACAGCTGGTAGTTTCGAACTGCTGACCTTGCGGTTCGCAGCCTGATTCGTAACCACTACGGTACCAGAGCTCCATGTGTATATTTTGTTGTTGTTAAATGCCAGCAAGTTGTCTATAAATAAAACTATATATGTTGTTTATTGTTTTTAAGTTCCATTGAGTCAGTGCCAACTCATATCAACTCTCTATAGGGTTTTCGAGGTTGTAAATCGTTTCGGGAGCAGATAAGCATCATCTTTCTTCTGTGGAGTAGTTGGTAGGCTCGAACCATCAACCTGTGGTTTCCAGTCCAGTGTTTATCCTACAGAGCCATCACATATCTATGTTTTGATTGATAGATTCATCGATTGATAGATACATGTAAAGTCTCAGAAATCCTTTACGGGGTCGCTATGAGTTAGAACTGACTCAATGGCACTTAACAACACTCTCTCTAACATATATGTATATATATATTGTTGTTGTTAAGTGCTGTCAAGTTAGTTCCAACTCATAGCAACCCTGTATAGTGTTTCCGAGGAGCAGTTGGTGAGTTTGAACCACTGACCTTGCTATTCAAATGAACTTGTGGTCCAATAGTTATCCTGTAGCGCCACACCGGGAATACACACACATATGTTGTTGCTGTTAAGTGCCGTTGAGTTGCTTCTGACTCAGCAACCCTGTCTAGCGTCTCCAAGGAGCAGCTGGTGGGTTTGAACCACCGTGTGGTTCGCAGTCCAATGCTGACCCTACAGTGCCATACCAGGAGTAGATAAGTAGTAGATGTAAATAAAACATTACATCATAGACTAGGGCATATGGAGAAATGTTGAGAATCATGGAGGAACTTTGAAAAGGACATTTGGGGAATAGAGGAAGAATTTGAAGCTCTCGGATCTCATGAAGTGGGGTAACTTCAACCTCTCAGAATATTATGGGGCCCAGTGAAGGCAATATAGAGTGAAGAGCAAGTATTACACACATATGGTGGTGGTGGTTATGTGCCATGGAGTCGGTTCCGACTCATAGAGACCCTGTATCAGGTTTCCGAGGCTGTAAATCGTAATGGGAGCAGAAAGCCTCATCTTTCTCCCACAGAACAGCTGGTAGTTTCAAACTGCTGACCTTAAGGCCTTTCTCAGAAGAGATTCCCATGGCCTCCCTGGGATATGCTTCTTAAGGGCATTAGTTTTTGTGGTGGAGCTGCTTAGCTCTGTGTGTGTGTTTGTGTGTCAGAGAAAGAGAGATGCTCAGCTTAGGGAAAAAGGGAGAGGCCCATTAGCTCGCATCCCACTCAAACTAAGGACTCCGGTGTGCTGTAGGATCAGCACCGGACTGTAAACCACAAGGTTGGTAGTTCAAGTTCACCAGCTGCACCTCGGAAACCCAATACAGTGTGGCTGTGTCGGAACCGACTTGATGACACTTGACAACAACAACACAACTCAAACTATGGAAAAGTCAGTACCAATTAGATACTCTTAGGACTTCCTGGTGTGATGCTGTGGATCAGCACTGGACTGAGAACCGTAAGTTGGCAGTTCAAACCCACCAGCTGCTCCTTGGAAATCCTATGCAGGGTTGCTATGAGTCAGAACTAGGTCAGCAGCAATTAACAACAACAGGACTTACTCAAGGAATCCCTGGGTGGTTAACGTGCTTAGCTGCTAACCAAAAGGTTGAAGGGTTGAATCCACCTAGAGGCTTCTCAGAAGAAAGACCTGGTGATCTACTTCCAAAAAATCACCCATTGAAACCCTATGGTGCACAGTTCTACTCCAGCGCATGTGGGGTCACCATGAGTTACAATCCATTCAATGTTAACTCTTCACTTAGTATTTATTTGTACTGTTTATGACTTTCTCAACTGACCCTTGAAAGCAGGTTGGGCATGAGTTGGCCCCATCCTGGAGAAGAACCTGAGGCTCTGCATCATTGGGGAGTGACCAGAGAGGGACAAAGCATCCCACAACTGGAGATTGGGACTTCAGGGTGTTGGTTTCTCATTCAGGATTTTCTCTGAGTTGGCCCCTCTCTTTTGCTCCCTCTCCCACACTGCCCCCTCTTCTCCCTCTTTGGTTCCTGAGGCAAAAGAAGCCCTGGGATCTGAGAAAGTCCCACGCTCTGGACAAGGAGAGCAGCTTGCCCTCTGGCTCTTTCTCTGTGGGTGACATCATTCCCCTTGAGGTTGGGAAAGGCTGCCCTGCTCCCCCACTCAATCAAGACCCAGATGATGCTCCGGCCTCCCTACTCCCCCTCGGACCTCCCGGTTTCCCACAGTTCAGACTTCCTTCTTCCGTTCTCATCCCCATCACAGCTGCCTTCTCCCTCTTCAGAGTCAACATCCCTGCGCTGGATGGACTGAGCTTGGCGTGAGCGTGGGCAAGAGGATATTGAGGCTTCCCTTTCCTCTCCCTCCCTTCCCCTGGGTGGGGTGGGGGTGGAGGAGCTGGAACAGGACAGGAGATGTGTTTCTCCTTGATCAGATCAGATATGATTCATGGAGTCCTGTCATTGCTATGTTGTTACGTTTCACTGAGGAAAATTTGTTCTGAAAGTGAATTTTTGAAAAACAAAACAACAAACCTGTTCCACTGAGTCAATTCCAACTCATGGCAAACCAGTGTGTTCCAGCGGAGAATTGCTCCACAGAATTTTCTTGGCTGTGATCTTTACAGACGCAGAACTGCAAGCCTTTCTTCTGCAGCACTTCACACCACTGACTTTTAGGTTGGTGGTGGTTGTTAGTTGCCATCGAGTAGGTTCCAACTCATAGCCACCCTGTTTAGGGTTTCTGAGGTGCAGCTAGTGAGTTTGAACCTCCGAACTTGTGGTTCAAACTGACCTTGTGGTCCAGTATTTTCACCTACAGCACCACACGAGGAGTTCTTTAGGTTGTTGTTGTTGTTGTTAAGTTGCCATGGAGTTGGTGTCAAGAGCAAATTAATTGTTGTGAAGTGCCATTGAATCGATTTGGACCCATAGTGACCCTGTGTAGGGTTTCCAAGGAGCAGCTGGTGAGCTTGAACCACCGACCTTGCAGTTCAAATGACTTTGCAGTCTGACGCATTAGCCCACAGCACCACACCAGGACTCATAAAATCAGAGCCTAAATTTACCCAGTGCTTTCTCTGTCATGCAGATGCATACATGACCTCACCTCATCTGCATAGCTTTATGAGGCAGGAATGATTATACTCATTTTAAAGATGGAAGAATGGGAAAATCAATCATTTAAATAACCTGCCCAGATCACATAGCTACTAAGTGGCAGAGCTAAGATTTGAACCTTGTTCCATGTGTCTCTAGAACTCAAGATCTTAACCAACATGGAATATCATTTTCCACAGGGGTGCAATTTTAGCCCTTGTTGACTTAAATGGGGTCTCTGTTTGACAACAGCCCTGAATTCATACATACCCATACATTTATTCCTCCTGGAAAACTGTACAAAACATCAGCATGATTTCTTATGGAGTTTTCCACCCTGGAAGCTATTGAATGGGGTCATTGCATTCCTCCCACTGACTCTGACCTGAACTGCGTTCAGCCTTCTGGAAGGATGCCTGCCAGCTCAGACTCCTTTCCTCTTGTGCTGAAAGGAAACCTTGGGCAACTGCCCTACCTTTTGAGTGAGTTACTGGATGATTTGGGGCACTCAGTGGTACTTGATGTTTTATGGGTGAAGCCAGTGTGAGGTACTAGGTCGGTTTTGAGGAAACATCATGATGTGTAGGTCTCAGTCTCTGTCTTCACATAGTGATGGCACAATCACTGTCTTGAGTGAGTGTGTAAAGGGATGTAGGCAGGTCCACAGGGAAGAGCATGCTCAGTACCACAGGAGTATGGGCCACGGGCCAGGGAATTAGAAAAGGTGAGATTGTGTCATGGAAGGGCTTGGCTACAGGACCAAGGCATTTAGATTTCATTCTTTGGGCAATGGGGAGCCACTGGAGGCGTCGGATCAACCAGTGATAATGATCAGAGGTGTGTGCCGGGTAAGACTGATCAGACACTTATGATTGGAGGCCTCTTAGGAGGGGGTTCTGTAGCATTCCAGGGGATGGAAAGCAGACAGGAAGACTCCAACACTCCACATGATTATGAGCTATACCTGGAGGATGGAGGGGCTGGGGACTGGAAGGGCAGAAGGGTGAGGCTCTACAGGACAGGACTGAGCTGACCCTCTCAGACTTCAGTGTAGATCTTCTCCTCCCAACCCTGGGAGTAGGGAGAGGTGGGAGTGCAGGAACAGGGTTGTTTGAATAGAAAAGCCAAAAATGAGTCTAAGGCTCCAAGTTGGGGTGACGAGGAAAGTGGGAAGGTACAGAAATAGGGACATGTGGGAGAAGCAGTTTGCTAGGAGAGTATAACGATGCATTTGAGTTGAGGTGTAGTGTAGACTCTGACTGTGCTCGGGGTCTTCTCAGCTGTCACTGAGCTGTGTGGGCCTCGGGAAGCAAGGGGCCATAGACAGGCAAAGCTACTCTGGCCCCGGCTCTGTGTCTCATGCCACAGTTGCCATCATATGAGCACACTTGCCCAAGCCATTTGGTCAGAAGTACTGCCAGAATGCGCCTTAGAAACCAGGATGGTGAGACTTGGTCTCTCATACTTCGGACATATTATCAGAAGGGACCAGTCCTTGGAAAAGGATATCATGCTTGGTAAAGTGGAGGTTCAACAAATATAATTCACCCCAATGAGATGAATTGGCGCAGCGGCAGCAGCAGTGGACTCAAACTTAATGTTTGTGAGGTTGGCACAGGCTCACGCACTATGCATAGGTTTATTATGAGTCAGAACCTACTCAACAGCACTTAACAACAACAAAGGGTCTGCAGCCCCTTCTAGTCCTGTCCTGGGGAAGGTACACAGAGTGTAGACAATCGTGGGCAACCTCAGGGACAGTCAGCCCCCATCCACTGGCTCCCCTTCCCCCATCCCACCCCAGGATTGGCAGGAGAGGATCTGACCCAGAAGTCAGAGAGGGTCAGCTGTGAGTCCAGCCCTGTGGAACCTCACCTGCCTGCCCTTTCTGTCCGCTACCCCTCCACCCTCCAGGCTTAGTTCTGTACATTAGGACAGGCCTGTGAGGTAAGATGATCCCGTGGGTCTTGGGGGGGGGGGGCTTAAGTAACAGATGTTCCACACACACAACGTTTGCTGTTGGTAACTTGAGCAGGAACTGATGGGGACCAAGGCAGCTTGGGCCCAGGGACTGGGACCTTGTGAATGTTATCAGACATAGTCTCCCCTCCCCCAAATTTAGCCTTCATCCAAGTTAATCTTTCAGCGTCTTCCAGCTGGCACCTCGGACTTAGGCCTTAGACACCACAGAGGGGCTGGGAGAACTGGCCTCCAGCTCCCTACTCTGACTTGGCCAAGGCAGCGGAGCCAATTGGGCCAAAAAGGCAGGAAGAAGGTTGGAGCCAAGTCTGAGAGCAGCTGAGAGAAGACAGGTGTTTGGGAGGGAGAGGCTGGCCTGGAAAGAGCTGGACCAGCAGACAGGCCTCCTTCTCTCTCTCCTAACCAGCCAGATGCTAACAACACCTAAAGGAAATCCCAGGCACTGGGCTGTCTGTTGGGAAATCTGAGCTCCTCCTTTTCCACTAATGTCCCTTTTCCCTTGTGTCCACTGCCCCAGAGAAGACAGGATAGCCTTAAAGTCCAGCTTCACTGACCAGCCATCTTAAGACAGTATCCGATCATTTAGACTACACTTTGGCCTGAGAGAGTCCTGTGAGCTGTGCCACCGTAGATAAATGACTTCACTCATTTGTTACAACAAGACTAGAGCAACCACGAAGGGTTGATATTAAGATAAAATGAGATGGTGAGCCTAGAGCACTTAACACAATTCCTGGTACGTAGTCAATGTGCCCAAATGGTTACTGCTAGCATCAAGGATGGCCTCTACTACTGTGTATACCTCAGAGTGATCTCAGCACCTCCTGTAACTCTCTAACCTTGGGCAAGTTACTTGTGTGCTCCAGTTTCCTAATCTTTAAAATGAGGACAATAATAGTCACTACTTCATAGTTGGACTCCTGGGCTTCAAACCACAAAGTCAGCAGTTCAAACTCGCCAGCTGTTCCTCGGAAACCCTATACAGGGTCACTGTGAGTTTGAGCCGACTCAACAGCACTTACGGAGCGCGGGGGCTCCATACAATAATCACTGCACTATGAACCATAAGGACTACGATGCGAGCCCACCAGTTGTTCTACAGGAGAAAGATGAGGCTTCCTGCTCCCATGAAGATTTAAAGCCTCAGAAACCCTATAGAGAGAGGGTGACTAGGAGTCAGAACAGACTCTACAGTACTTAACAACAACTCAGTTATTAATATTTTCATTTTGAGAAAGAAGCACGCATTTTTATAGGACTTGTAAACAAGTCAGTGAAATTTACTATTCTGGGATTCTCCATACTTCTTTTTATAAAGATAGAATACCACAACACCAACTGCTTTATATAATATTTACTGAAGGCAAGTCAGGCTAAAATTTATGGTTAAAAATATTCATAGCAGCAACTTCTAAAATAAAATTTTATTAAATTAAGTCATTGCACTTGGTCATTTTATTGCTACAACAAAACAAGGCCATTAAATAACAACACTTCTCAGTTCTGATTTTAACTGATTGTCTAATTCTGCTCAGACATTTCAAGCTTAAATACAAGGATAACTTGCTTAACAAAAGAACACTTTTTTTTCTCCCGTAATCCCAATTCCAAAGCCCTTAACAACAACATAGAATAAATACTGGACTGCTAACTGCAAGGTTGGTAATTCAAACTCACCCTGGAAACCCCAACTAGGGTGAGTATTTTTGAAACTGACTCCACAGCACTTCACAACAGCAACAACAACATATATATTAATCACTTGGGATATTTCCTGTTTTAGCTCCTTAGCTGACATTGTTATTTCCTTTATCCAGCCATATCAGTGTTCAAAGTCCCCCTCACCGAGCCAAGCACTGATCTCCTCTGGACTGGACTGACGTGGACCATCGTAAACTGGTCTGGTCTGGAGATGAATGTTTGGGGCAATCCCACTCTACCCATCCCATGGCTCACTGGCCCTGTGCTTGTTCTTTTCCCTGTAGGTGTCCATGAAGGAAGTGGGTGATGGCTTGCAAGACCAGATGAACAGCATGATGGGGGCACTGCAGGAACTGAAGCTTCTGCAGGTGCAAGCAGCATTAGAACAGCTGGAGATCTCTGGAGGGAGTCGTGTCCCAGGCTGCCCTGAAAACCCCTGGACACAACCTGAGCCTTCTCAGTGGGAAGGTGGCAGGGGCTCAGCCAGGCCTCTGGCTGGCTCCCCCTCCAATCAACCTTTTCTTGACAGCAGCATCAAGTTTTCACCCCATAGGAGGATCTGTGGGAGGGAGAGGGCCCCCCTGCCCAGCACACAGCTCTCAGAGCACCAAAGCTCTGCCCAGCAAGGGTCAGAGCACGTGGAGCCAGATGACTGGACCTCCACGCTGATGTCCCGGGGCCGGAATCGACAGCCTCTGGTGTTAGGGGACAATGTCTTTGCAGACCTGGTGGGCAACTGGCTGGACTTGCCAGAACTGGAGAAGGGTGGGGAGAAGGGAGAGACTGGGGAAGCTGGGGAGCCCAAAGGAGGAAAGGGCCAACTCCGGGAGCTGGGCCGCAGGTTTGCCCTGACAGCAAACATCTTTAGGAAGTTTTTACGTAGTGTGCGGCCTGACCGCGACCGGCTGCTGAAGGAGAAGCCTGGCTGGGTGATGCCCATGGCCTCTGAACCACGTGCCCGACGCTCTCAGAAGGTCAAGAAGCGGAGTCATCCTAAGGGCTCTGGACATTTCTCCTTCCCAGGCATCAGAGAGCGCAAACAAGGGGAAACTCCAGCCACAAGTTGCCCCAAGGCCCTGGAGCCCCCACCCTCTGGCTTTGATATTAACACAGCTGTTTGGGTCTGAATCCTAGAGACAGAAAATTGACTGCATCCAAGAGAGCCAAGTGAAGATGCTTGGTTCCCAGGGAGGAGGCCAGGAGTGAAGTATGGCTTTCAAAAGCCCAACTCCAAGTTCTTTTCCCCAAGGAAGAAGCCAGAGGGGCAGAAGTGGGCCCCTGGTCTCTTAGCAGGAGGTCTCATGCAGAGATGATAGCCTGAGGTTGAAAGATATGTAGAAGGAGCTGGCTGGTGGGTGAGGTGAGAGTTCATGGATTGTGTGTTTGTGTGTGCTCATTTGGGGCTGGAGGTAACAGCAGGGAAAGGCAGGGGAGGAGACCAGGAAACCTACCCCGTGATACTCCATCATTGCCCCCCAAACTTCACTTGAACATTCTGTATGGAAAAGGGCACTGAGGCTGCAGGTTCCCTAGAGGCTCTCAATAAACACTTTGCCTTTGGTGTCCCCAACCTTAACAATGTACGCTTTCCAGGCAAGGCAAGTCCGTGAGCTCTAGTCCTCCTGGGAGTCAGAAGGGCAATTAGGCAAATTCCTACTCTTACCTCCTACTCTTTTCTGCATGGAGTCCTGGGGTCACACTGTAAGATAAGCTGGACCACAAGGTCGGGCTGATCTACACAGTTGGTGGTTCAAACTCACCAGTCACTCCTCGGAAACCCTATACAGCATTGCTATGAGTCTGAACCAACTCGACAGCACTTAATAACACCCTTTTCTGCTGTCTTTGAGATTTCAGTCCATATCTGAACCCAGCGGTAAAAGCAAATCTGCTATTGAGTTGGTTGCAACAGATGGTGATACACCCTTTGTTGTAGGGTACAACTGAGCCCCATAGAGTTTTCTTGGCTGTAATCTTTACAGACACATCTCCAAACCTTTTTACCTGTTGCCAGCTGGTAGGTTTCAACCAAACGCAGATAATTTGTGCCACCCAGTGACCTGGAGGAGGCTCATAACTCTTTGTCTTTCCAGAAGCACACAGGGAGGAATGATAATATTTGTTAAGCACATTACACTTTAATGAAAACGCTTTCATTTATCCACTTTCTCAACTGTAACAAGGAAAGCAGGTATTATGGAATCATCCCCATTTTCCAAATGAGGAAATAAGCCTATATATGCTACTTGTCCAGGGTCATACCACGGGCAGGAGGCAGAACTGTCCAGGCCTGACAAAAGCAGAAGCTGGACCCTGGAGTAACACATTCCTCCAACAGTACTTAGAACTACCACCTCTCCTTCCTCCAAATACCCCAGCTTAGCACCCAGGACTGGGCAGTGTTAACTTCTGCTGTCTGTAAGGTTGCTATGAGCCAGAACTGACTCCATGGTACCTAACAAAAAACAAGCATACACTCCTAGTGTGATGCTGTAGGATAAGCACTTGACTGCTAATTGCAAAGTCAGTGGTTCAAACCCATCAGCTGCTCCTAGGAAACCCGATACAGGGTCGTAATGAGTTGAAACCCACTAGTTGCCACTTAACAACAGCTCTATACATTGGCCCCCTCCCAACCTGGGCGCAGCCATTGCCTCATCTTCCCTCTTTCAGAATCAGCCAGAGCCAAGGGGGCAGGGCTGAGACAGCAGCTCAGCTCCCAGAGTCTGTGGCAGCCGCTAAAGCTTTTCTAAAGCCGCTCTGGGCACGTGGCCTGGAAAAGAACCCCGCAGATCAAGGGGCCCGCCCCCTGCAAGCTACCGTCCCTCCCACTGCAGGCAGGGAACGCCCACTGGCTGAGAAAAGACAATGTGGGTCCCTGTTTGGACTGAGCCAGCCGTATAGAGCACTCCCTTTGCCCACCCCTCTCCCCCTCCCGGCTGATTTCCCCTCAGCCTGATGGGGTGTGACAGCTGCAATTAGAGGCAAGACGCCTTCCTGGCCTCAGAGCATTAATAGCAAATTGGAGAAGAAAAATAAGAACAAGAAAAGCTCTTCTTCCTGCATCCCGGACCCCCAGGGGACAGAGATGGAGGGAAGGAGGGGGCTTAGAGTGAGCAGCTCCGCAGCTCTAGTTGGGGGTGGGGAGTACAGCCGCAGTGGTTAGAGCCATCCTCAAATTCCCACGCAGTGAAACTTGGTGTTCGCTACAGAATGTGGGGAAGGGTGCCATGATTTTGGAGCCCCCACCGTTTGCTAGGCACAGTATGTCACAATCTTTAAAATGAACTTTAACTTTTAAATAAATGAAGCTCTTAAGGTCGCTATGAGTCGGAACGACTCGAAGTCACTTAAAAACAACAAAAAAGGGCCATTTAAGCAGAATAGGATGGCTCTGCCTACAAAGAAAGCTAGGATTTGAACCAGAGGGTTGTCTAGTTCCTAAATACTAGTCCGTTCCTCTCCCTGGCATTCTTTCTGAAAGAACAAGCACTCTCCAGCGAACTTTGACATTTCAGGCTGGGCAAAACCATCTGAGCTGTGGCTGTCTTTGGTGGCAGTGATGTGTGGGTGTATAGAATGTGTATGTGATAATTCCATCTACTGATGTGCTGGTTCCTGAGAGGAGAGCCCTGGGCCATCCATCAGATGATTCAAAAACGGTGGCAGCTCCAAGTCTAGAAGGATTTTATAGGAAACCAAGTCAACTCTTGACCATTCAACGGCAACTCATCTCTGTTCTGTGGACAGAGCGGTTTGGATCACTAGAACAAGTGTATGAACACTTTCCAATGCCAGGCATGATGTTAAGGACTGAGTGATGAAAAAAACTCAGCTTTTGACCTCAAGGAGGAACGGTGGGAAAGAAAGACACTCTTCACTCAACGGCTAGTCACAAGGAATTAAAGGAAATGAAAACTCATTTTTAATTAGGGCCAGAACAAAATAATTAGGAAGTGATATTTGCTGCTACCTTTAGGAGCCCTGGTGGTGCAATGATTGAAATGCTCAATAAGGCTAACGATAAGATCAGCGGTTCACACCCACTATCATCTTCACAGGAGAAAGATGTGGCAGTATGATTAAAGATTTACAACCTTGGAAACCCTGTGGGGCAGTTCTATATGGTGACTATGAGTTGGAACCCACTCCATGGCAGTAGATTTGGTTTGGTTTCAGGCATTTTCATCTTTCTGTTCTTGATCTTTCTTAGACTGCATCCTGTAAGTGGTTATTATACCTCTGATTTTACATGGGTAAACTCAAAAAAGTTAAGCAACTTGTCCAAGGTCACATAGTGGCAGAGCTGAGCATGAAACAGCTCCAACTGAGGTCCAGTCTTGTGTTTTTTGCACTATCCCACAAATTGTCCATCTCTGTTCCCAAGCCAAATAAAAGGAAATAACAAAACCTGTCCTCCCCACATTATCCATGCTCCTTTGTGGATAATAAATGGAATGCTGACTGACCAGTGGGGGGATTTTGGCAGGGCTGAGGTAACACTCCACCAACTATGTCATGCTTTGTTAAAGATTATGGCCAAGTCATTCACCCCACATCATTTTAACTTTTTCTTCCCCTCTGGGCTCCTGTGGTGAGCAATGGAGACTATATTACTGAAACTGAGTGAATAGGTGAATGGGAATACTGGAGGCCTAAGCAATGCAGGAACGCATACAAGGGGTTGGGTAGGAAAGTGTGTATGGGCTTTAAGGGGGTAGATAGTGGAAGTGAGCAGAGAGAAATCGTCAGCTTAATTCTGCCCTTGAGGCTTATTTTATGGTTAATTAAGACATGCAAATGAGCTGGAAACTCATTTAATACCCTATCTGGTATGCAGCCCCACCCCACACCTGTCCTAGCTATTTGGCAGGTACAGGAGCCCCCTCCCTGCTTGGGCATCTGCTCAGGGCCCCAGTGGCTTCTTTGTGCCCATGGGACCAACAGTATGTCTCTCTCTAGATGTTTCTCAACCATAAGCAGAGCTGGATAGAGAGTCCCCACTAGACTTGGAGAATGTCCGATTCCCTTCTCTTTTTTTATGAGACCTGGAACCTTTCCTTCCTGGAGTGTATGGGCCCCTCATTCTCAACACTCCTCAGGGTCATCTTTGGACCTAAACCTTTCTCATATGTGAACCAGGGCTAATGCTAAGTTGCTCTGAGATGGACATACTAACCCTTGGTGTCCAACACAACCCCTAGACTCCCTGTCCCTGGGCGCAGGCACTAACCATGTGATCCAGGCCAAAGCCCAAACAACAAAGATGTAATATTTCTCTGAGCTTCATTCTCTTCTATTGTAAAATGTATACCTGCCTTTATTACCTTACTGGATTGTAGTAGGGATCAGAGAAGACAGTAAGTGTGAACATGATTCTGAACATTGTAAAATATTATCCACATGGCTGTTGTTACTTTTTACATTTTCCCCTGGAGGGATGATATGTGTGTGCAGGGACAGGGTGGGAGTAGGGTGCAATGGAGAAATGGGACCAATTTGGGCTGAGCTGGTGCTGAGAACTCCACTATTTGAGGGGCTGCTCTAGAGAACACTCCTACCTGCTCTGACTCCCTAGCTCACTCTCAAATTCCTAGTAAGGAATGAAGAAGGGTTGAATAAGTCAAGTCCTGACAGTTTTCAGAGGAATCAGTCACGCTCCGTGTGCCCCCTGCCTCCTCACCCCTCTTCAGGAGTCTCCTCTCTCAGCTCCACAAGACCTTAGGGACTAGAGTCAGACCCTAGCTCTCTCTCCCTTTCTCCCCAGTCACCCTGGGGGTTGATGGTCTAAAGGAGCTTGTGGCAGTGTCTCATTGACTGTTCTCCTAAAATCTCTTTGGTGAAGCCTCTGCTCAGGCAGGTGTTGCTGGAGGAAGGGCGCTGGGCCAGGAAGGTCATGGGGCAGAGGCAGGGGCTTCTGGAGTAAGATGCTCAGACTGCAGGTTAGATGTCTTCCACCTTCCTTTTGCCTTCTCTATCCTGATGTAGTGCTGTAGGATAACCACTGGAGCACAAGAACGGGTTGAACCGCAAGGTCGGCAGTTCAAACTCACCAGCCACTCCTCGGAAACCCTATACAGGGGTCACTATGCATCAGAATCAACTCAGTGGCACTTAACAACAACAA